ACTAGGCTAGTAAGCAAGATACAAGGAGAGGAGGCTAACCCCTCTAATTTTGGATTTCAAAATATGATTTTGACCACTGAAATAACTCTTAAAATTAGTATTTAAAAGCTTAGAAAAAAGATAGTATAAGTGTGGGAAACACAAGGATAAAGGCCTAGGAAGTTAGGTAGAAGGAATGGTGAGCCACCTCTCCACCCTTATTGGCCTTAGACCACAAGTTTCAGCCTAAAATGTTAGAGTTTAGACAGTCCAAAAAAAGCCCAAAAACAATACAAAAATGTGCTAGAATGAAGACAAAAGTAGCTAAAATAATATGCTAAAACATGGAGCAATTTAAGCTAGTAAACAAGCCAAAGGAGGGGTGGCTAACCCCTCCATTTTTGGGACTTCAAAATCACTTTTTAGCTTTTGAAAACCTCTGAAAATCAATGATAAAAATCTCAAAAAAAGTTGATGAAGAAATGGGAAACACAACTGTAAAGGCTTAGAGAACAAGGTTCAAAGAAGGGTGATCAACCCCTATACCTTTAATAGCCTTAAACCACAAGTTTCAGATCATAAAAACAGTCCAAAATCACTTCAAAATCAACAAGAAAAGATAGAAAAGAAGTAGCGCAAAGATGCTCAAAATTATACCTCTTGAAGAGGAATAATACTTTTGTTCACAAACCAACAAGTTCTCACTTTTAAGGGCTGAAATTTGGACTCAATAATCTTAGCAATGAGAGCTCCAATATTGGTTTAGGAAGTGTAGAGAGAAGGTATATAGGTTGCAAGATAGAGATAGAGAGAGAATTTCAAGTTTTGGAACTTTTGGAATTTTTTTCAACTTTAAACCATGAAGGAATGTCCCTTTTATATAGAAAAGCAACCCTTCAGGTCAAAAATATCAAGCCTAGAACAGCTGGAGCTTTTGGGGGACAGCTGGCCAAAACTATCTAGGTTTTTTACTAGTGGCCGGCAGGCCAAAAGTGTGCGTTGCCAGCCATCTGCTGGCTATCAAAAATCTACTTCCAGGCTCGACTTTAAATGGACATATTTTCTTCATTCGAAATCCTTTTCAGGTTATTCTTGAGTTTAAATTGAAGTCCTGGAAGTCATAGTTTCCAATGGTAGCAGCGTCACATCTAAATTCTAAGTATGCAAAGAGATATGCCTATTTTAGTGAAGGTTGCTTAGTTCTAGCTGAATCGGATTGATGCCTAACTTCAAACAGCCATATCTTCCTCATCCGGATTCGGCTTTAGGAGATTCTTAGGTCTAAAATGAAGCCCCAGAAGTAAATTTTCCAATGGTGGTGGCCTCACAACTAAAGTCCAAGTGTAAAAAAGGATAGGCCTGATTTAGTGAAGGCTGCTCAATTCTCTCTCAACGGTTTCATGCCCAACTATTTCCCCAACTAGTTTTCTTCCCTCTCCTCCTATTTTCTTCAACTCCAAACCTATAAATAAGAGGTTTAAAATATTTTTCAAAGAGTTCACCTCTCTTTCATTTATTTCCACTTTGTCCTTACTTGGTTTACCGAAAAGTGTAATTTTTAACGAAATGTGAGCCTTAGACCATCGTAGAAACTTTTACAAAAATATTTTGAAAGAGAGAGTTTTGAGGTCTAAAATAGTTTTTTGTCGAAAATGGGGTGTAAGGTTGGGATTTAGAAGCTTTCTTGCTGAAGAAATTGAGCATTTGTACAGTATAACTCTCATCATCGAGTGATCAACTCGAGGCGCCCAAGTCTTAAGAACAATAAAAAATGGAGTGTCTACAGTGTTTTGGCCAAATTTCTTGGTGGGTCTTCAACTCTTAGCTATCATTTCGAGGCAGGGGTACTTTTAACTTGTTATATCCTTGATTCGAGATATATATGTAGTAATTTCTTAGTTATAGTAATGTATGAGATGATTTTGTGATATAAAGTTGGTTGGTTGAATGAAAAAAAGGTTTTCCTCCATGTTTTGAAAAAGTTTATGCATATCATTCTTAATTATTGTTAGAAATGGTGAATATTGACTTTCTATTTGCAAATGGGAGGAAAGCCTCAAATTTTATTAAACCCGAGTTTTCCAATTGAATTGAAAGAAAAAAAAAAAAGAGGATTTTTTGAAATTGACTCTTGAAAGATGAAATTGGGTGTATTGAAGGTATTGTGGCATGGAGATATGGACTTTTGATAACTTGTGGAAAGAAATCCTTGAGATTTAGAGATGATGGAATTGTGAAATTGAAGAATTGTTATGTGATGAATATTGTTATTAATGTTTTGTGGATTGAACGAACTATAGGGAAAATCTATTTTGAAAACTCATGCATCATGTACATCATACTTTCTCATGTGATTTAACCACCTTATGGATGTTTTGGAAAATGTCAAAAGGGTAAATAGTATATGAGTCTAGGTAGTTGAGTCAGGTTTTGGGAATTGAGTTGTGTGTTGTATTTGATACCCACGTGGGGAGTCAAGATGTCCAATTGCCCTATTTGCGCATATCGTTGGACGAATGTGGGGAAGGTTTTTGGATGTCCACGAGCCTGCCGTTTATAGAGTCGGCAAATGTGGAAAACTTGATTTTTGGTATTTGCAAGCCCGCAGTTTCAGGAGTTGGCGAAAGTGGAGAGGGAAAGGTTTTGGGTGTCCATCGCCCCGTCGTTATTAGAGTTAGCAAATGTGAAAATATTTTTTGTATATAAATCTATATATGTATGTATGGTTTTGTGGCTCTTGCTTGGGACGTCATAGCAGATTTACCACCCTGTAATTGTAGATAAGACTTTGAAAGAAAATCATGCATGGAACATTTTTGGATTTTAAATGAGAAAATATGAATTTCATCCTAACTAGTGCATGGCATGATCATATGCATCTCAATTGTTTATATGACTTGTTAATTGAATTTCCTATTGGGCACTAGCTCACCTCAAAACTAACCACCTTTCAGGAATCGATGTTGAGGCGCCATCTAAATAATTGACTTGGGGAAGGATTTTGTATGGGAGTCACAAAAGCTCTCTTTTGATGTTTATGTTTAAGCCTCGGGCTACTTTTGTATGGGAATCTAGACTTCCATTTTTGTGTGTTCAAGGACACTCTTTGAGACGATGTTTTCATTTTTGGCTCTTTCTTTGCATTATCTCTTGTCTTTTGAAATATTTTTATTTTGTTGGTAGATGTAGACAAACAATGATGTAATCACTAGAATAGTTCAATGGGAAAGAGGTAGTCATGGAATTATTACTAATATTATTATGGATTTACTCTCTTTCTCTCTTTCACTTTTCTATATTGGATGGACCTAAGTGAACATGTTTGATTAAGGTAATTTTCCCGGGGCGTTACAAAACCTATCAATTCAAACTCAAACAAACCTCTACCTCCTTAGTAGAGATCAAAAAGTTAATTTTGGATTAAAATGGGTTGATGGGCAAAATTGTCATTTTCACAAAAAATGATTTTTGGCTAAAATGGGGATACACAGGAACTTTTGCAAACCTTAAGCATCTCTAAGAAATAAGAAATTATCATTTTATCATCGGGAAGCTTATAAGCACCCGAAGTCTTGGGGTCCATCAAAATTAGGCTGTCTACACCATCTGTCTATTCAAATCTTTTTTTCTTATTTGTTTGATTTTTTTAAACCTATCTATTTAAATTTGTGTCTATCTATCAAAATTATTTTACTGTTTTTAATCTATTTGTTGAAATTCACAAAGCCTATTTTTTTTTCTATATGTTAAAATTTACCAAATAACCTATCTGTTGAAATTCATCAACCCGATTTTCCTATCTATTCAATTTTTGAAATTATTTGTTCAAATTATACCATCGTCTATCTATTTGTTTTAATGTTTTTTTGAACCTATCTGTTTCTTCTTTTATTTATTTCAACGTTCTATCTTTCTTTTTGTCTAAATCACTGTAAGTCTAATTTTCTAAACCTATCAACAAAGCAAATATACATACATATGTATATATATATAGATAGAGAGAGATGGCAGTGATGGTCTGGTCGATGAGAGAACATGCCATGACAAAGATAATGACATACCAGGGTTTTTAAAGAGAGATGACGAAGTCGCGAAGGGTGATGTGGAATTCATGGCCGCACTGAGGAAGCACACGAATCTTGTTACTCTTGGCATACTCTGTCAAGCAAATTCGGTGAATCGGTGATCAACCAAACCCTAAAGGGTCTTAATGCTGTGCAGTTTGCTTCTTTCTTAGGTAGATCATCTATGTCTCTCTTAGTTCAATGCTGTGAATCGGTGATCACCATTTCGCCTTCAATCTCGTTCTTTCTGCCGCCAGAAGCAAGTTCCATTTTGGCTTCCACATGCATGCTAGAGAGAGAACTGAAGCTGTACAAACGCGAGAGAGATAGATAAGAGAAAGATGGAGAGGAAAAACCAGAAAGAGAGAGGAGAGAGACTGGTTTAGGGAAATTAGGGGTTGAGGAGAGAGAATAGAGGAATGGAAGGGTTTATGAATGGAGAGATAACTTCCTAAATTTGTATAGATAGGGAAACAAACTATCTATTAAATTTTTGGAAAGCGTGTCCTTATGAAGTTAATAATGTCTTTATTGATTTAATAGTTTAGCATATGGGCTTTTGGATAAAAGAAATTGAAATTGAAATTTGAATTTGAATTTATGAGCCCAACGTCCTATAAAATAACAGGACACATTTTAATAAATAATATGTCAACTAGTTACTAAATTATTTCAATTAAGCACTGGTATGGCATATAAGGTTGGGGTGAGTTGGGATTAAAATAATTATAAAAACATAAAATAATTTTTTTAGTGTTAAACTAAAATATATGAAAAAAAATTAAAAATTTATTTCCAATAAAATTTTTTAATCTCAAATTAAAATAATAAAAAAAATTAAACAATCAACTCACTCCGTAAACGAAGTGCGTGGGTTCAGTTGGCAGTGAATGGAGACAAGTGCTCCCACTATTGGTGAACAAAATAAAATTTTAAATTATAATTATTATTATTTGTTCCAAAAAAAAAAAAAAAATTATAATTATTAAGGTAAAGAAGTCGGTCTGAATTTGCCATAGTTGGAAACTGTCAGCAAAGTGGATGAGGGTGTAGTAAAGCTCGAACGAAGGAACGAAACAAACGTTTTAGAGACCAATGGTGGACATGTTCGAAGCTGCTGTTTTGGCTTCTCAGGTTCGCATCAATCTTCATCCTCTCACTTCCACTTCCACTTCCACCACCACTGTCACCGTCCCATCTCTTTCTCTCTTGCCAAGCAATTTAAGGACCACAAGCACAACAACGCCATGGAAATTCAGAGCCGCTGTTGCTGTTTTTTCATCTCCGTCTCCTGGGTCCCTCAATCAAACAGTTGGTGGGCGATCTTTGGAACCCAGCAACGACAAATCTGTAAACAACGGAGAACCAAATGAGAGTCAATGGAAGAAGAAGAAGAGGAGGGTATTCTTCTTGGACGTTAATCCTCTCTGTTACAATGGAAGTACACCCAGCTTACACTCCTTTGCTCATTGGATTTCTCTTTTCTTCTCTCGAGTCAGCCTCACAGACCCTGTCATTGCTGTAAGCTCTCTCTCTCTCTCTCTAGATCAATTGCCATATGTTGTACAGTGTACACTGTAGGCCTTCAGTTTCTTGAAAATTAGTGTATTGTAGTTGAAAAGTTGTTGAAACCTTCAAACTGGGTTTGGAATATTAATAAAATGGGCATACATGAATTTAGTTAGAGGAAAAGATAAGAAAATGAAAAGCAAATCATTGTTACTACCTTGCTTGATTACCATTCAAACAATTAGGAAAATCAAATATAACCAAAGAATGTGGAAATTACATGGCTAATTATTGACATTGATTCAAGAAATTATAGTAAAAATTATAGCGTGCGCCCACACACAAAATTATAAAGGTCCAAAACAATTGGATGTATGAGACCCTTTGTCAACGATATAAATGTCTAAATTCTACTGCACACAATCACCCTAAGTCATTAGATTTATCATCTAGCAGCCATATAAAGAATCTCGAAAATATGGTTTTGTAATAAATATTCTGGATATTATATTTCATATTATTAGTTTGTTTGATCTGTTTTTCCTTTTTGTAATCATTTAACTGGAATTTTGGTTTGTAGGTTATTGATGGGGAAAGAGGTAATGAGTATCGCAGGCAATTATTACCTTCATATAAGGCGCATAGGAAAAAATTCTCAAGACAAAATTCAGTGTCACAAAGATTTTCAAAAGTTCCTGTTTGGAGGTCACATCGAGTAGTCATTGATGTGCTCAAGAAATTAAATGTTCCGGTGAGTAAACTTTCTTGTTTACATTTATGTGATGATTCTTATGTATATGGATATCCCTGAACCCCTTATTGGCATCTTAAGTTTCAGGATGTTAGAGCTGGTAATCTGGTATAGCATGCTTTATTAGCTCAAACAAGTACTAAGATTATTATGGTAGGTTTATAAAGCACGTTTCTATGTTTAGGTAAATGAGGTTGTTTGAGTTTGAGGATTTGCAAACTTAAAAATATCTGATGATAGGGGAGAAAGGGAGATATTCACCACTCTGACAAGAATTCCATCCTTATACCTTTTTTTCCCTTTCTTTTGACCACGTATTGGCAACCAGTGGATGCTTGGAGCATAAACTTTTTTTGATTGCTTTTTCATTCGCATGAAACATGTAAAAGAATCTCAACTTAATTCCAGCGACAAGTAATAAGTGAAGGGTCTATATTTCTTATTTTAAACAAAGAAACTTTTGTGCAGTGTCAATTCAAACTTCAAAGTAACTCATGCATATTTTTTATTTTTCAGATAAGAGTTATTTGTCGCTTATTGTAAAAAACAGTATTCATACTCAACGACTAATTTGATGAAGTGCTCAAGTGAAACCCTTATATATATAGGACACAAGAAATGAGATAGTTGGACAATCTGAACCATTCCTAGTGGGGAGATATGGTCTTCAACTCTAAATTGCTGCCTCTGTATACTTTAATTGTCTCCGTATCCATGTGAAAGCATCAGGGAAGATCTATCACATTGACAGGAATGACAGAAAATCCATGCATTGTTTTTCTCCTCGTTGTTCATCCATTCATTTTTTTTTATTCAATGAATGACGCTAATTTGGGCTCAGCATTCCATATGCGTCAGGAATGTTTTTATTCAGTCAACACTTACCATCAAGTCGTTGGGAGAACAAGGACTAAATGTGTTGGATCACTGATGATTTTAGATTTCATAATTTTAGTTTCACTAGGTTTAATATTGAGAATAAAAAGTGATGCAGGTCGTAAAAATTGAAGACCATGAAGCAGATGATGTTGTGGCTACACTTGTTGATGAAGTTTTACAAAGAGGATACCAAGTGGTTGTTGCCTCTCCTGATAAAGATTTCAAGCAACTAATCTCTGAGGATGTGCAAATTGTTATGCCCATGCTTGAGCTTGACCGTTGGTCGTTTTACACCCTAAAGCACTACGTAGCACAGTACAATTGTGATCCATCCTCCGATTTGAGTCTTAGTATGTGACATTCTGGCTTCCTTTTCATGATCATTGATATCATTTCTGAACTTTGCATATGTGGTATTTATGGATTTTTCATTGACTAGCTATAATTTTATTTCCTTACTGAGCCATCCAGGATCTTCTAGAGCTACTTCAAGTGTACTTAATCTACAACCTCTGTATATATCTATTACCTCTTTTCAAAAATTCTTTTTTTGTTTTTTCTTTTTCAATTGGGTGTGGCATTAAGACGGGATATCTTAGCCCAAGAAAGAAAAAGGATGTTAGGAGCATTCAAGAAGAATAAATCCTTTCCTAAAGTGAATTCAAGCTGGTAAATCGTCAATAAGAAAATCTTCAATTTCTCTCCTCTATGGAAAATCGCATTGTCACCGGCCTTTCAAAAAATTCTTATAGTTATTACAAAGGGGATACCATCAAAAGAGACAGTTGGGGAACTCTCACAGGCTCCCTTGCTTCAATTTTTAGCGGTTCACTCTTCCCAACCAATCTCTTCTATTGGCATCCACAATGTGTGTTCTGGCCTAAGAAACATGGACTCAGACACGTGACACGACACAAATACGGTGATATGAAAAATTTCAAAAACTGCAAGACACGTCACGTGGGGACATGCAAAATACATGCTTTTTATATTTATATGTTATCTAGATGAATATTTCATTCAAAATTAATAAAAGATATAATATAACATGAATTTCTAAAGTTTAAAGAATGATAGATTAATTGGTATAAATCACATTTTTTTTCTTTTATGTCTCAATCCTCAATTATTTTGTTCAAACTTAAAATGTGTTTTATGTATGTCTAAGCAATGGAAACGTGCATTTTCCAAGTGTCCAAAGTGTGTCAAAGTCTAAAAAAATTTAGAAGTACTAATAGGACAGCCAACATGTGTCAGAAGTGTCTAACAAGTGTCAGTGTCCGACATGTGTCACACTTTTCCAATATTCATTTACAAAGTCTGCTTTTTTTATCTTCCATCTAAAATATACATTTTTGTGCCCCAGAGAATTTCCATTCGAGTCGATTTTTTTTTTTTTTTTTTAGATAGACACATTTGAGTCAATTAATTCAGATTAATTGATTTAATTTTTCTTGATTTTAATTCAGTTTGGTACGCTACATTTCTTCCAAGCTTCCAATTGAAATTAAATGTTTAGTCTCTGACCACTGTGCTGGGTAGTAAAGGGGTTTAATGTGGCTGTCCATCTTGAACATGTGACGAGTTTGAATTGCTCAATTTGCAAGAGCAGTGTGGCAGCCTTATGGCTATGGGCCATGCATCTTCTCCCCACTGCCAGGGTGCAGCTAGGAGTTGCCACCTTTATTCACCTAGCAGTGGCAGGTTGATAAAACTAGAAGTGGCTTTACGATTTATAATTTTTGCACTGTTTATGTTTAGTATTTTTTAATTATTTTTTTATTTCTCTTTCTGAACCAAAAATGTATAGACTCTTCATGTTCTTTCCATCCGCGTTGTATTTCTCTTCCCTGTTTACAATTTCTTTATACAGATTACTCAACAAATAGCTAGTGCAAATTATTCCTTTGAGCAAGATCCAAGTAAATAATTTGAGTGATTGGACTCGCAACATAAAAGAAGCAAGTAGCAAATAACCATGTTCTGCCTATAGTAACTAATGTTATAAGATTCATGACCTCTCTGATGCTGATGTACTGTGCATTTCGCTTACTTTTCTGAATGAAGTAGTTATTTTGTAGGATGCATAATGGGTGATGAAGTCGATGGAGTTCCTGGGATTCAACATGTAGTTCCTGGTTTTGGTCGAAAGACTGCACTCAAGCTCTTGAAAAAGCACGGTTCATTGGAAAATTTACTAAATGCAGCAGCAGTAAGAACTGTGGGCAGACAATATGCCCAAGATGCCCTTACGAAATATGCTGATTACCTGCGAAGAAATTATGAAGTTCTTTCCTTGAAGAGGTAATGTCTTTCCTCATGGTGCCTTGCGCCATGAAAACTGCTTTGATAGAGTCTTCCATGTAGCTTGTCCTTTGTGTTTGATAATTCCAGTTAATGTCTCTGGATCACACAACCGTACAGGGATGTCAATGTTCGTCTTCAAGAGGAGTGGTTGTCTGATAGAGAAACCTGCAATGATTCGGTTACCTTATCCAACTTCTTAAAGCTGTTGGGAGAACCCTGAAGCTGAATCACCGAAACAGATCCCATTCTTCAAATAGTTAAGCTCCAATATGTCCCCATGTTTTCGACTTCTTTTAAAGATGCATTGAAGATTTAACCTCTTCTCTAAGGTACTAAAGATATCCGTGGTTCATTTCCTGGATCTCCAAGTTGGATTTATGGATCTTTTTATTTTAGTTTTAAATAACCATGCTTCACTGTAAGCTAATGATGTAGACACTTGTAGACTTATACTCATTGCTAGCTAAGCTTTAGGAACACTGGATGGCTTTTGCCCCATTGATCAATTAAACTAGTTGAAGAACATGCATTACTGATAGAAGATGAATTGAAAACTTTCTGATTTGTACTTCAAGACTTGTAATAAAGATGCATCGAAGCGGCTTGTCTTGAAAATAGTAACACAGCTTTCACACTAATCTATGTCGTTTCAGTTGATCTGCATTTCTGTGTTGTAGCAGGTCTAGGATCTAACAAAAATATTCATGTATACTGCCAGAAATTTCTGTTTTTGGGACTTACTTTTTCAGTGAAAATTTGGGAGAATATCAAATGCTTCATGGAACCTTACAAGTATTAAGATCATCAGGACAGAAATTTCCATAATGTTGTATTAAGCATGACATTTGTCAGTCCATCATACAGAAGCCATGAGCCAAATCCATGGCTTTTAGCATATGTCTTTATTACAAACACAACTCTTTGCGCTCTTTCGCATAGACTAGCACAGGACCATGTGCAAAAAAGAAAAAAAATAAAACAACTTAAGAAGCAAGTAGCAGTACCTTGTGTCTATAATGTGGAATTTACCACTTCTAATACATTTTATCCGTGTTAAGTTGCGTTTCTTTTTTTCCCCATGTCTTGGGAAACAGGTATTCTATTTCTAAGGCTTTTATTAACAAATCTTTGGCATTCCTAAAACATCGTCAATAGCTTTTGTTTGCTTAGTCAATCTGGAGGTCACTAATGTCATCTAGAAAATCCATTTAAAACTAAGTCTGGTTAATTGTACTGTCTGCATATGTATGGAAAATAATTTGCTTGATGCTTTTAGGGACTATTTCCTGTGATATACCTAAATATAATTGTCATGTTCTATGAAAGAACCGTAATTACTTGGAAAATCCGAGTACAGCATACAAACTGCTTGTGGAACCTCATGGTTCATATGCATTAACTATTGATGATCGGAACTCGGGGCTTCTAAATTGGATTAATTTGAAATTCTGGAGTTCTCTAGCTGACTGTCGATAGTTTGAAGAATCCAACAAAACTTTTGGAGAGGAATCAATTGATTTTGAAGTGAATAAAGTGGGTTTTTTTTTAAAATTGAATTGAATTGTTACTTCAGAATATTTGTTTAAAGTTATAGCATGAATTAAGCGTTTCAAGTTATCTCAAGGAGTCAATTAAGCCCCTTCCCCCTCCCCACAACACCCCCCCTCTCTCTCTCTCTCTCTAAGTAACCAACATAACAAGCCAAATCTAACTATAAAGACATTGCAGACAAACTAGCTAATCTGGAAGTGAACCAAAAGGAGAGTCTGTTGGTGATTGATCAGCCCGCCCCAGCTTAGGGTGCTTCTTGTTGCTGATATGGCTGGTGTAGCCTTTTTGAGGGCCTAGTTCCCTCTTGTTTTGTTTTTTATTCTTTATGTGGTATTTGGATAATGAATTTGAGTAGAGATTTGAAACCAATATGAAAAAATGTAAGAAAAATATGAATGTAATAGAAGTTAATTTTTTTCTTTATTTCTCTTGCCTTCTTTCCAAATTTTTACCCAAACAAAACTTTAAAGTTGTATACAATATCCTATCCAAACCCCACTTTTAGTTCCCAAAAAAAAAAAAAACCCACTTTATTTCTTTATTTCTCTTGCCTTCTTTCCAAATTTTTACCCAAACGCAACTTTAAAGTTGTATACAATATCCTATCCAAACCGTTTCCTAAGCCAAAAAAAAAAAAAAAAAAAACCCAACTTAACAAGCTTGTTAATCGGACTAGGACATCCGTTGTAAACTTTTTAAGCTTAGCATAAATTCAACAGGAACTTCAGTTTCGGCTTATGATTTTTTTTTATTTAAAGCCAAAACTAAAAGTACGTAAAAATACGGCCATAAGCTGAATCCAAAAGCACATAAAATAGTTGTTTCATAAACATATGCAAAAATTTTATTTTATAACATGAAACAAATGGCGAAACACATGATTACATAATGCCAGCGAAAATAACATTTTGTTTTTGTTTTTGACCAGTTTTTTCATAACCTTGTTGATCAATACAAAGGAGGCTCTATTTGCACTCCAAAAAATCGTTGAGGCACCCCCAACTTAATAAACAGCGCTGCTAAATACTCTTATCGAGGATCCCCACTAGTTCAGATTTTTGACACTAGGGTCCAGTTTGGGCAACGGGTCTGTTTCAATGATTTGAACCGTTCATTTTGTCGGATACTTTGTGTATTTCATACACATCAAAAAAAAAAAATTAGGTTGATCCGATAACAATAACTTGTTCAATTTTTCACTAAAAAAAATAAACAACAATTGTGTTTTTAAAAATAAATCATACATTTTTTTTAGTGACAAACACAATCAATTGAACAAATTACAGTTATCGAATCGAACTAATATTTTTGTATGGATGAAATATACGAAATACCTAACAAAATAAACATTTCGAATCATTGAAATGGGGCCTGTAATAGGCCCCAGGGGCCCAAACAATGCCCTATGTTCCAAAATGTGGACTAGAGAAGATCCTTCTCCTTTACTTTGAACCTCCTATTTCTTTGGCCCCCCACCTTTCAAAAGTACTCCCCAATCATGCATCTTTTTAACTAGTTTCTGTTTTGGCTTGGAGTCTAAAAAAAAAAGCATATTTCCAACTTTACCCATTTTCTATGCACTCTCACCCTTTCCATTTCTTTCTCTAACAACCCTCATTCCCCACCATTTTCCCACTTCGGCCACCCCCTTCTCCATTTCAGTTACTACTTACCACCTACCTCCGGTCGTGTCACCACCAGTCTAATCCACCCATTGCAAGCCCCAACTACCTACAAACCTTTTCAGTTCTTCTCCACCAGTACCCCACCCCTCAAAACCCTAACTCCGGTCGAGCCTTCTCTTTCTTTTTCTCTCTCCTCCTCTCTCTTTACCGATCTATCTCTTATCTCTCTCTTTTTGTTCAGCTACACAGAGCCAATCTTTTTGAATATGTTTGGCACTCCACAACCGAACATATGCACTTTGTTCGACTCTAGTCGACCATATTTGAACAAATTCTCTTTTGCTTGGCTACATAATACCGTACACCAACCTTTTGTTTGGATCTGGTTATCTGAACGATGACGAAAGTAGTTGTAAAGGCAAGCAAGTTGCCGAGTTGCTTGCTGAAGTATAAGAAGGGTCACACAGAGTGGTTGTTATGAGGATGAAGATCGCAATGGTCGAGGTCATGGAGGGTGGGCGTCATGATAGTCAGAAGTAGTTGGGTTAGGAAAAACCATTGTTGATAAAAGAGGATGGGTGGGAGTTGCAGTGGGGAAGGTGGTCGCCGAAAAGAGAAGAGGTGTTGCTATGGAGAGAGGGCTTGTTAGTGGAAGAAAATGAAGGAGGTGGGTTGGTCACCAGAGGTTGCTGGCAAAAGTGGAAGTGGTAGTGACATTAGGGTTAGGGTTAGGGTTAGGGTTAGATTTGGGAGGATAAGAGTGGAGACAAGATTGGAATTTGATGTTAGGACAAAATTGTAAGAAAAATAAATAAAGAAATGGGGGTTCCAAAGTAAAAAGGTAGGGGCATTTAGCAACACTTTTTAATGAAACTTTCTATTGCTATTCTGTCTCTATTTAAAATGATCAAAAAGTATTGATATTGAAAAAAGTACAATAATCAAAGTGTTTTGGACATTCTATTCAAAATCAATCTCAATCTTCTCATCTCTTCTTTTCTTACTCTATTCACTTTATATTTTCATACCCAACCCTATTTTGTTTGAATCCATCATTATTGCATTCTATTTCATATTGAAATAAAAATTAGACAATGATGAAGACTTTTCCAAATAATTATTTATTTATTTATTTTTTATAGAGAGTGTAAGTTTTCTATTCATATTCATTGTTTTCAGCTGTTAGATTTACAAAATAAGTGTGATATAAATTGGGTATGGCATTGTTTTTGGAAAAACATGTAAAACGTTTTGACATGGGCATTGCATATGCATAAAACCTTGTGACTTTATTAAGATTTATAGATTGTGTTGTAGTATTTCTATTGGGTTTTGGCTCACCCTATGTAGGAAAACCATTTTTAGGTGCTGGTGATATGCCTCCACCAAGGACTTATCTTGGGAGAACTGTGGAGCTGAAGGCTCAGAGTTGTTGTGTTGTATTTAATTTTGTATAAACCTAGGGCTTTATCTGTATTGAGCTTAAGACTCACTTTTGATGTACCCAAGAATTAACTTGGAAAGATGTAAGCCTTTAGGGCATATGATTATCTATTTAGCTTTCGTTCCTTTTCACAATCTTGTAATACATGTTGTAGATTCAGGATGTATTGTTTATGAATGTATACCGCATGTATCACCTTTTGTATATCAAACTCTGATTAATGAAAGCTTATCATATCACTTATGTTGCTATTTATTGGTTATTATGAGATGGGTATACTGCACTTATTTCAGGGCGTTACAATGCAATAACCACAACTACTCATTAGAAAATTGAGTGGATTGAAACACATGAACCTACATGTTTGGACAATGAGAAAGATAGTGAGAACATGAATAAAAAGGAAAGAAATTACACTACATAATCAAACTTGTGGATGGGTGGCTACTTTCTAACTCCCAACCACATTCACAAGGTTCCATTTTACATATCTATATACAACAACAATGGATTATAGCATTACAAAGCAAGAAAAAGAATGTAAGAGTGCTAAAAATGTGAGAAATTCAACCACCTTAATGGATGGATGGCTACATCCTAAACCCAACCACATCTATGAGGACCCATCATGAGATTCCAGAACAAAACAACAAGATTCAAAGCTTGAAGGGAAGAAAAAGCGAAAGAGAGAAAGAGAGATATATATTAATGAAAAGGTCAAAACTTCACCTTTTGAAGAGATGATGAGTTCTTAGTTATCACACTCCTTCCTAGCACCCTTAAGATCCTTTAGAATGGCATAGAATCCTCAGCTAGGTACACTACAAGAAATTACACTTTCGTCGACCACTTTTGCCAACTAAAAATATTTTGGTCGCAAAAAAATGACATTTGCCGACTGAAACAATTTTCGTAGCTAAAATTTTATACTCTTACTTACTGACTAAAGTAATTTTGTTGCAAAAAAGTGATTCTTTGCAACTAACTTAAAACATTAGTAGTCAAAAATATAGGTGAGAAGGTGAAAAACTAGGTGGGAGAGTAAAATCTTTTAGTGACTAATGCAATTTTGTCGCAGATATCAAAACGACGTCGTTTTGATATCTAAATGCACAGAGAGACAACGGCCGACCAACACTGTTGTAGAGGATAACTAATTCCAACCCTTATACTATTGAAAAAAAAATGTACCTCTTCGATCACACCTCAGTTGAGCGAATCACCTCGCCTTACCATCAACGTTGCCGTCGACTGTTCTCGCCTCTCCACCGTCAGCACTGCTGTCCCTTTTTGCTATTTGTGATTCGTCTTTGCCTCGCCACTGTCATCTAGGTATTTTTTTTTCAACCTTCTGTCTCTCTTTGTTTATATCTCTATCTCACTTTTTCTCTTTGATTTCTCTTACTCCTCTTTCTTATACTCTCCTCGTTCTACAATGTCTCACCCACCAGGGCCCTCACCAACTTGATTTTTTGGAGCATCTTCAACTCTCCCTAAAAACAATTTGAGGTATAAATCCTCTCTCTCTCTGTCTCTCTCTCTCTCTGTCTCTCTCTCACTCACTCACTCATTCTTTATATGTCTCTTCCTCTCCCCCTCAATGTTTCTATTGATGTTTGTTGCATTATGTCTGAGTCATAATAGCACTTGAGATGTACACCTTGAATGTTTGTAGATAAACCAAATCGAGCAACATATCTAGCTATCCAAATTCTTAAGCATATTTGATAGAAGCTTCTATCAAATCTGCCCTCCAATTGTTACTCTCATTGTTTTTGCCAGTTATGAAACTTGCTATAACTAATTGGTTGAACAATTAGGAAAACATGCTGGATTTTTGCTTTAATTAGATTGGCAAGCTGCTGGGATATGTTGATAATAGGATTTCAATCCGTTCTTTGTGAAGTCCCTCAATATGTGATGTTCCCTTGGAGTGTTTTATTTCTTATATTGGGAAATATACTTAAATGAGAATCAACAACTTGGCTAAGCTTTTGTAATTTATTTGTGAATTACAAGCGAATTTGTGATATAGAAGATAAGTTAAGGATCAATTTGCAATTTATTTAATCGATAGATAGAAAATTGCCATGAAATGTAATAAATAATATATATGTGTGTGTGTGTATTTTGAATTCTAAAGAGTAATATTCTTGCAAGTAAACATTTAGCGTCCATTTGGCATGGCATCAAAAAACAAAGGATGGAATAAGACTTGTCTACCATTAAATCACATTTATATTCTTATAATCTATGAAATCCTACACACATCTAGAAGACCATAATACCCATCAATATATTGAACAAATTTCAGATAGTCCAAAACCCTAATGATGTAAATAGTCCAAGCTTCAATAACTTTTTACTTTTTTGTTTTTTTTCCTGGGTTTCGAATTCCGCCATCATCAATTTCATATACATAACAAACGAAGAAAGTGATTCCAACTTCCAAAAATTTGTAAAATGGGACCTACTTAAGCTTCCAAACAATTTGTAAAATGGGACTTTACAAATTAACAAAGAAGTCATGGAAACAAGTTAATGCCATGGGATTTTCACTAATTTTCCCTTAAAAAATGGAGGAGAGGAGGGAAAAGATCACTTTGAAGATTCATTTAAAAATTGCCATTGGAGAATAGAATTTTAAATCCTAGTCTTTTCTCTCTCTTTCCTCCTTATCCTTCTCTTTTCCTTTTTTGAGATGAAATAGAAAAGGCTTTAGCAATAGAATTTTGGCATTTGCTGCCACAGAACATGGTGTGCTACAGTTTAACATCAACGGGCTTGTTCTTGGATTTTCTGCAATTAAGTCATTTGAACATGTGCTTCCTTAAGTGTGCTAGGTTTTACTAAAATGGTTTGAACTTTAATGACCAATTCTTGGTTTCAGTTTGATCAATGTTTCCTCAAAGAATAGTACTAGAATATTAAAACTGCTGCCAACATTATCTTGGGATTATGTTCTGCTAATTGAATGTGCATTTAGGTTATAAGTTGTAAAATTTAGTTTTGCTAAAATTGCTAGACTTTAAGTTGTTGCGTGTTCATGCTTCTATGATTTTGCGACCTAGTAATCTGGTTGTCTTCTTTGTTTTCTGTCTTTTGGCTTGGTCAAGTGTCTTATGCTTTCTCATATTGCATTTGTGCGAAAAGTTAAAGGATCTTTCTTCCCAACTGATTTTCTAGTATTACTTGGCCTTCTTTTTTCCTTTTTCTATCTTTCTTTCTTTTTTTTTGTTGAGAAACCTATCTTCTGATGTGAGTTTCAAGTTGTGCAAAACACTTGGATGTTTTAGATGTAAGAATTTATCTAGTTTTTATTTTTTTATTTTTTTTTTATTTTTACAAATGATGTCCAATTAACAAAACACGTTTAAAAATTTGTTCTACATGATATATTCTAAGAAATGAACAATTCGGATCATTAAATTGAGACAACTTCACCACTCGTACAATAGTGACTTTTTTGATTCACTAGCAAATCACCACAATAGCTTTTGATTTTTTTTAAAAGAGAACATGAAACTACAAAAGTAGCCCACAGAAGAATGTTGAACTCTGTTTTGGCAGCTAAAATGTATTTATAACCTAAATGATTTATGCTCCATTTCTTCCAAGCACAATATTTTTCGGCCAAGAACAATTTTTTATAGTTTGATTGAGACCTTAAAACTAATGTATTAATGATTGTATTACTAGTGATAGTGGGAGTGGTGGAGAGAGAGAGAAAGAGAGATGGCAAAAGACAAGTCAAACCATTACTTTTCTACGGAAATCATATACAATGCCATGCATTTGAGTAATTCAACAACTATCTTGATTAGTAGTTCACGTGTGACAACTAAACTACCATTACCTTTTGACCAAACAAATATCTATAGTCACCAAGCCTGTGTTTGACACACACAAAGAGGTGCAATATTGTCTCATGCTTTAAATTGAGAAGGCTAATTACAGAACACCAATGCAGCCTGTTGATGTTTCTACGTTATAACAAGCTGCATTTATATTAGGAAATAAGAATTACCTACAGAAATTGCAGTAGTGCTTCTCTGGTACCTAAAACAAATAAAAAAAACAACAATTTAGAAGGATATATATTGTTTACAACTCTAGACATATGCTTGAAATGAAATTGGCTCCAAAGAATTCTTTGTTTAGAATCTACTTACACGTATGACATGGAATGCACAAGTTCCTGGAGGTCATCAGCCAAAAAGCCAACCTCATCTAATAGGATGTGGTAATGTGTTGGCCTTGTAGTCCTTTATTAAGAAAAACATGGGTTAAAACAAACAGCCAAGGTTCAATATATTCTCATTGTCAGAGTGAAAAGAATAGCCACACAAGGACTAAACACTAGTAACTCTTTACTGCATTATCCTTCACAAATAACTAAACACTTGTAATTTAATAGAAATTTTAAATCAACTAATGATTCTATGGATAAAATTCTTTAGCAAATTTTATAGGAGGAAGCTTACAAGAAAGAGATAAGTGTGTTTTAGATGTGGAAATCTCCTGCCAGAATTTAAGCATTCAATTAGAATATGAGAATTCTATGGGCTGACTATAGTTTTATAGTGAGAAGACTAGCAAGAGAGAGAGAGAGAGACTCAAATTTCCATTGACATTAATCAGCTATATGATTTAATAAAGGGTAAGGTAGTTGCTGCTTAGGCTAAAATGGTCAGTGGCAGTAGAGAGAAGAGAAGGGTAGCGGTCATGGATGAGTTCACAACATTAAGCTATCAAGAGAAAATAAGGAGAGAGAATGAGCCCAAAAGGATATGACAAACTTTGTTGTCTATCACTGTCCCTGCATAATATAATATAAAATTATTATGGGTTTTATATTCAATGCAAAATTAGATTTTCTACATGATTTATAAGTGCTAACCTGGTGGAACATTGTCAGGAGATCTTGGCTGGAAAAATTTTGTATGGTGATTTTTGTAGACAACAATAACCACAAACTTGTGCGACCACTTCTCATCAAGGAACTTGCAAGACTGCATAAATACAATACATTTTCAACTTTTTCATTTTACCAGGCAGGAGAGAAGGAGACACAATATCTAAGCACATTATCAAAGGGCATTAGTTAGCTAGAAAACCTCGATAATTTGATCGAGTTTGATGTTTAGAACTTGGTTGAACTATGATTCACTCACTTCATCCCTAGAAAATTTCACAACATTGTTAATTAAGAATTAAGGCAAAGAAATATAAATGCGTGTGGATCTCAAAACAATGAGATGAGCATATATTAGATAGTACAAAGGAAAGTAGAACAATTAAAAACAAATGAGGAAATACACATGCATGTACAAAAATTTAATGATGTAGAGACTTATCAGATCTAACAAGTGTTGATGTAAAAAGTCGATGGTATGAACATGACCCCGTTGTATTCCCAGCTCAAGTCGAACAAGTATTTTATGTTAATGATACCAATTTAGGTGAGAATTGGAAAGTTGTAGAACGATTCCACCATTGAGGAATCTAGAATGTGCTAGAGATGGATGGTTCACTTGACGATGCTCTCAATAGTGTGTTCCAAAAAGACGAAACCATCGATTACGGACGGAAATGGTATGCAAATTGAAGGCGGTGGCGATCAAGGGGTTTTGTGTAGAGTTGATATTGAAGGTGAAATTATTCTTAATACGGTGGTTTTACAATCTCATAGTCAAACACAAGTCGAAGGTGTTGATGATGCTTTCATTTGTAATACCGATGATGATGACTTCATTGAGGATGATGGTAAGCAAGAAGAAGACGAATTTAACATTGATTCGGATATAAATCATAACATAGAACCTTGATGTATTTATTTAATAGATAGTAATTGAGGAGATACTACCACAGTTTTTGTTATATATGTCTTCAATATCACTTACAAATTTACATAAATGAATTAATATATATGAAATTAAGATTTTTATGGATGTTCATTTCTTACTTATATATTTGTTAATTATCACTCTTGATGTATATGCATGTACACATTTAAAATTTGTGCTTATCTATGTGCTCATTGTGCTCTTTGCCTTTGATTATTTTAAAATTTAACAGAATAGCTTCTGGAAAAAAGATTTGCCATTTAGCACCACCAAAGAGGGCATTAATTGAACCCTACTCATTCCCAACCGATACAACTAAACCTTGTCCTGAATGTCTTGTAGCAGATGGATCTGAGACTATTGCACCAACTCCAATTCAAACTAATGCGTTGTCAAGATCTGAGACTTTTGCACCATCTCCGTCTCAAACTAATGCACCAACTAGATCTAAGACTGTACCATCTCTGTCTAAAACAAATGTACCATCTCCTCAAAGTTAAATGAGTGGCACATGCAATTAAATATGTTTCATCTAGTTGTAATTTATCTATTTGTTTATATTTTTAAATTTGTAAATACACTAATAATATTATCAATTAGCAGGTGCATCTTCATCAAGGTGTGTGCAAGGACCAACAAATGGAAAATCAACAGAAAAAAGAATTGCCAACAATAATGGAAACAAGCTCTACATTCCAATCACCGAGACATTCAATGCATTGGAAGGTGTGCTAGCGACCCCAGAATCTAATGAGATTAGCATTCACGTTAGGAGAATGTGCCCCATTCAAGGCGTTAGCAGTTGGACTATTGCTGATCTAGCGACAAAAGGGGCTGTTATACAAGCTGTCCGGGTATGATTTAATTTCAGTCATGGTCTATGTGGATTATGGAAAAAGTGCTCTTTTCATGTGCATATAGGATGGATGGTTAGGAACTTTTTTTTTTTCTTTTTAAGTGCTAATTGCTGGTTATGAAAGCTTCAAAAAGTCTAATTACATAATGAGTATGCAAAGTCTTAAAAAGATGGAATGCTCTGTGAACTCTCGAAAACCTTTTAAGGTTTTCTTACTGTACCTAAATATTTTCAGCTTTCACATGTGCAGTGATATTACTTATTTGGTTTGTATTGATTATATGATAAATTTGAAATTGGGGATGATTATGAGGACAATTCACTATCTCAGCAAGTTATGGAAAGGAATTATTATGTGTTACATAAAGATTGGAAGTGCAAAATGAAGAAGAAATGGAAGAAGCTTGTGAATGCAGGAATTGACCCTTATGCTCATCCATATAAAGGAATGAGCCTAGATGATTGGAAGTATTTGATTGAACATGTATGATTGGATCCCAAACAAGGTATGTTATGATTTAGTTATAAGATAGTAATATGTTATTAACAAGTAATTGAAATCTTATGGAATGAAGGATCAATTTATGTACCTATAAACAACTCTAGTCCCCTTGTATGTCTAACTACTTTTAATATTACTTAGTACTCTTATCAATAGTAGCTATATATGTAACAAACCCTTATAATATGGATTATGTAGCGTCGTTACGACACTGACAAACTTAACAGGAGCAAGCTACCCTACAATCACACTAGTGGGTCTCAATCTTTTCCAACGACGATGAGCATTGCGGTGAGACGTATTTCATTGATTTAGTTAACTTTATCCACACTTATTTCATATGTTGTCACAATAATGAAGGAGTGTTGATCTTGGTGTTTGGCATTTCACAAGTAAATGAAAATGGTGGACTGTTGCTAGATATCTGTGATTTCTTCAAGGACACTCATTAGAACAAGAAAACAAAAGAGTGGATTGATCCTATATGTCATGATTTACATGCAAGTATTCCAATCATTTGGACTCTTATAGTGACTATTGTGTTTGATTTATATTAACAATATTTATATTTTACAATTACAGGAGCATATAATAACAATGCGGGATAAGTCTATCGAGTTTGGAACGCCGATGATGCAAAAAGATATATCAAGGACATATCAACAACGGTTCTTGGGAAGAAGAAGGGATAGTTAAGAGGATTTGGGGTCGGACCAAAGCCCTCTTCCTATTATTTTGGGTCGAATGGTACATCACAAGCATGTGAGGAGTAATAAAAAAGGCTTACATCCAAGTTGGAGATACTCCGTGAGAAGCAACAAAGACACCATGAGGAGCAGTAAAAAAAAGGAAGAGGAGCAACAAATAAAGAGACAAAGAATGCAAGACAACGTGAGGACATGCAAAGGTAGATTTTTGGACTTTAGAGCATGTTGGTGCAAGTTTTGGAAAATGGTGCCACCAAATTACCCACCATAGCTAGTCATGGTATTGGGCAACTGTGTTAAACCATATTTCATTATATTTATGTTCAAAATAAAGGCAAACAAACGTGTGATGAGAATATTAGAGAAAAAAATGTGAGAAAAAAAGGAGAAAACGGGTCGTTCGAGGGGTAAAAATTGGAAACAGCCCCTATACAACCCCGAGATCATAATAGTCACCTCGGTGTAGATTAAACAAATTGGTGAAAGGAAGTGACACATCGATAGAACGCATGGTTAGAGATTTAGACCAAAAAAAATAAGGAAAAAATGCAAAAACGAGCCGTTTGGGGGCAAAAATTGGAAACATCCCCCAAGCATCCCCGAGATCATCAGGGTCACCTTCGACTAGATTAAAGAAACTTGTGAGAGCAAGCGTCTTCTCGACAAGATGCACGATTAAATATTTAGACAAAAAAATGTGATGAAAAGGGCAAAAACAGGCCGTTTGGGGGCAAAAATTGGAAACAACCTTGAAACACCCTTAGATGATAACGGTCACCTTGGCCTAGATTAAAGAAACTTGTGAGAGCAAGCGGCACATCGATAGGACGCACTGTTAGAGATTTAGACAAAAAAAATATGAGGAAAAAAAGGCGAAAACGGGCCGCTTGTGGGCAAAAATTGGAAACAGCCCCCAAACAGCTTCGAGATCATCATAGTCACCTCGGATTAGATTAAGGAAACTAGTGAGAGCAAGCAGCATGTCGATAGGACACATGGTTAGATATTTAGACAAAAAAATGTGATGAAAAAAGGCGAAAACAGGCCATTTGGGGGCAAAAATTGGAAATAACCTCGAAACACCTCCAAGATCATAATGGTCACCTCAGCCTAGATTAAAGAAACTTGTGAGAGCAAGCAGCGCGTTTGATAGGATTCACGGTTAGATATTTAGACAAACAATGTGATGGAAAAAGGCAAAAACAGGCCGTTTGGGGGCAACAATTGGAAACAACATTGAAACAACCCGAGATCATAATGGTCACCTCAGCCTAGATTAAGCAAATTTGTGAGAGCAAGCGGCGCATTGGTGGGATGCACGATTAGAGATTTACGCAAGAAATTGTCCATGAAAAAGCAAAAATGGGCCTTTTGGAGGGGAAAAAAAAAAGAGACATATCATTAGTAAACCTCTAATGCAACAGACTTTTTGTGGCAACCTCATCTAGGAAAGATATGCTTTTGACTTCATAGAAATGCAACGACTGCAGAAATAAGAGTTATGGCCAGTAGTGAATAACGTGCATTCACAAAATTACCATATAGCAAAAGGTTACATATATCTTCAATTAGCTTAAGCCTCCAACAAAATGTTTTCAGAAAATCCCGTCAATCACATGGACTTCCAATTGATAGAATTTTAGATTTCAACCTAGAAACGAAAGCCACAACTAAGAACAACTCTTTAAACAATGGTGTGACTTCTAAATTCAAAATAGCTCGAGCCAACAACAAAACACCACATTTTCTGCATAGTTCTTGAAATAGTAACAAAAGCAAACATTTCTTTAAAGAACAATAAAAATAAGCCTTATTTGAGTAAAGATCACAGATGAAAAAGTCAGGAGATGAGGCCAATGTGGTTGGTATTAAAACTAGACGACAAACAATATTGGAAATGATGATATTGATAGAATTGTAATGTCTTTTAGATATATACATATGAATTTTGTTGTTTTATTTACAAAATGGTATTGATAGTTATTTAATTTGTTCATGTTACCTTTACTTTCCATGGACGTTTTTATTTTTTGTCTAATTTTACAATCATTTGATGTGTAAATATTTTCATAAAAAAATTACCTGACATTATTTCTTTTTTCTTTGGTACAGATGGATGAACTCATTCACGAAACTAAATTGTGCAGGACTAGTTGGCACTTGTTACAATTTTTGAAGGATTATATATTTGTTGGATAGATGTGTATGAAAAATATTTGAGTTGACTAGAAGTTATATTTTTGGATGGATGCGTATGGAAATTACTTAGGTAGACTACTAGTTATATTTTTTGATAGATGCGCGTGGATAAAAATTTAAAACATAATAACAAGTACTTGTTATGTTTTAAATTTTTATGCTAGATGGATGTGAATTGGATGATTATATATATTACATGACATTTTTAATTGGAGGAATATGTAGTTTGGAATTACTTGTGGATGAAAACTTATAATGGTTGATGACTTTAGTTAAACAGGTTTAGGATTTGATGATTTATGTATTTTGTTGAATGTTCATGATTCAATTGATTTTATTGGTTTGAATGATTCTTGCAAATTACAGATTATATTGAATGGATTGGATGAATTATTATAAATTATAGGTTTATTTTGTTGGATGTTGGCGACCAAATTTTGGTTTTGTTTTTCCTCTTTTAGCAACCAAGTGATTAGTTGGGAAAGATAAGTAATACTTTTGCCAACTAAATAATGTAGTTGATGTATCACCACTCACATTTGATGACCAAAATATTGGTAGGCGAAAGGGTACATTTGGTGACTAAATAATTAGTTGGTAAATTATTAATTTTGGCAACCAAAGGGTTTGGTCGCCAATAGGTCTATTACCGACTAAAGCTTTAGTTGCGCAAACATTACTTTTCGCAACTAACATGTTTGGTTGTGGCATATGACTTTTGGCAACTAATATGTTTTGTTATGAAATGTAACAATTGGTGACTAACATGTTTCGTTGTGGAATGTGACAATTGGCAACTAACATATTTAGTCGGTAAAATATCATTTTTGACGACTAAATTGTTTTAGCTACAAAATGGTTTAGTTGCGGTAATTATATATTCAACGACCAAAAATTTAGTAGGCAAACATAACCTTTTTCCCGACTAAAAAAATTTTAGTCGCGAATTACTTTTCCCAATTCTGTATTTGGCAACCAAAGTGGCGACAAAAAATTAGTCGCAGAAAATTTTTGCTGACTAAAAATAGACTTTTGCCAACTAAATTTTTAGTAAGTAAAAGTGCAATTTCCAATAATGGTATCCCAATCCAAGGTTTGATGATGTTTAGGTGACGTAAGCAACGAGGAGAGAGATGGAAGATGACTTACGCAGGTTGGAGTGTTTGGCTCTCAAACTAGTTTCTTGGCTCTTAGGAAATTTGGTAACCATAAGCAATGAAACTGAGGCGCCTTTATATAGAGCTTTGGGACAAAAATATCTAAAATATTTATGGAAAATTCACAAAAAAATTTGAAATTCTCGAAAATACTCTATACCCAAACAAGTCATCCGGTCATACCATTATTACTTTGGCTAAGCACATTGTCATCTGGCCATAAATAATTATATAGACAGCGAAAAAAATGTACCGTTGGATCAATAGTATAAAACTAACATAATTTGACAGAAAAAACAGGTATTTTCAAAGAATTTCACCCCTCAATTCACTTACTATGTCCTTTGCTCAGTCTACTAAAAAAAAAACAATGTTTAAAGCTCGAAAATGCGAGTCTCGGAACATTGTAGAATGTTTGGAACCACGTAACCCAAAACACTTTGAAAAATGATTTTAAGAGGGTTTAAAATAGTTTTAGCCAAAATTGGTATAGGTTAGAATGGTTTTGGTTTTCCTGTTAAGGGATTCAAAAGACTTCACATTGCGACTTTCATCATCGGGTGCTTGGAATAGAGCACCTAAGTCTTAAGGCCAGTCAAAATAGGGTGTTAACAGCAGGAGAAGGAGGCAAAGGTAGAGATAGTTTCGATAGATCTTAGTGTGGCGAGTCCTTGGGGACAGAAAGAGCAGTCAGAGTAGCAGTCCATCCAAGGTCGTAGCCTTTGTTGCAAGCAATTTTTACTTGGTTTTTGTAGCCTTCTTTGACGGCCGCTTTTCCCTCCTCGGCTTGCCTAATTTCTTCTTTCTTTGTTGTAAGGGCTTCGGTAAGATTTCTTTCGGCTTTGGTAGCCCTTCCATCGGTAGCCTTGGTAGCAATTTTTGCTTATTTTTGTAGCCTTCTTTGATTGCTCGTTGTTTATCGCGCTTTTTTTTCTAAGTTGTTGAATTAGAGAAGATATTCAGTTGCCTCAGGGGTTTTCTTGATTAGGTCCTTCTTCATCATCTTGGCCTTAAGCGTGAAGGAAAAATTTTGTTGGATAGACAATGAAAGAAAATGATTAGTAAGCAAATTATTCTAAGTCTTAAATGATAAAGGAAAGAAGAAAAGTTAAAGAAATTACCAAAATAGAATGGCACATCATGAAGGCGAAGTACTCATATTCATTGCACTTGCTGATAGCATCCATGTCAGTTGGAAACAGTAAGCTCGTGGTGAGAGTAACAGCAACCTCAGGATCCTTGGAAACACTATCTTCGACTTTCAGTAGCCAATTGCCTACACGGATCTCGGGGAACCAGGTGTCATCTAAGGTGGCATTTCTTGATCCGCTAGGTCCAACCAATTTCATGCACTTGCCACTTGGAGCCTCAACAGACTCTCAAGCTGACCTTTTTTCAGCTGCCATTTAGGAGATGAGGATGCTATCTTTTGGGTCTTTATCTCCAGATGGCGACATCTAGGGGTAAGCAGCGGATATACCGATCCGCCCAAACCGACTGAACTAAACCGATCCGTCGTATTTTGGACAGATACGTGATGACGAGTGGACGGTTGCGGATTGATT